GATGGATCTACTACGTTGGCCGTTCCGATGAAATCATCGAATGGTCAAAGAAAGCCGAGGAATACAGTAGTGAATATCATACACTTCTTGGTGATGACCCAGAAAGCTTTTGGGGTTCGGATGAAGAAGATAAAGTAGGCGGGGAGATGATTAATTACGATGATGACGATGACAATGATGATAATGATGAGGGTATGGTTCAAGGATATAGCGAGTTATTGGAAGTGGTTAAGGAAAGAGATATAGTTGAGAGTAAAGAGTTTGAGAGCATTGAAGAGTTGAATGAACGTGTTAAGAACATGGAGGAAAAGATTGGTAGACTTTTGGAGTTATTAGAGAAAAAGGGAAGTGATCCATAAATTGTTTGATGGAATTCCGAACGCTTAAAAAGATGTTTAATGTAAAAAGATTCCATTATCTTTTTTGTTAAAGTTTATTTGGTTTTCTAATATTATTAAAACAAATAATAGTAAAGCAAATTGACTACCCCTCTACTCATTACCTCCCCATCTTTGTATAAGATGATTTTTTTACTATTTATTACAAACAAGAGATTTCTACGAAAAATAATTTTTTACATAGCCAACTAATTTCTCGGCCTTGTGGCTATAATAGGCCAGAAAAAGTACGATGACAGCACCCAAAACACCTCTAAATAGACTTCTACCTTTCCATCGGGAGAAAAACAACCAATTCACAATTCTATCGTTTCGTTGAGTATAAGGCGGATAACGAAATCCTATAAACCTTTCGCAAAAGTACGGTGTGTTCATCACGGACCGTTCGTGGGTAAATACGTCATAACTACCCTTCCCGCGATAACTTCCCATCCCTGAATGACCTTGACCACCGAAAGGTAACGTCATGACTGTTTGTGAAAATGACAAGTGAATGTGAGTTAGATGATGCGTAAAACGAAATGATCTCCTTTAGAAAATAGTGAATGTCTTGAAAAATTCACCAGATGCTTGCATGAGGCAATCATTGATAACTGCTGCACCGGAACGAGTATTATCAAGAACTATTAAGAAATGTACTAGTTAGTTTCAATGAACGACTAAGATGGAAATGAATACAAGTTCGTTGACTCACTATACTGAATAGTTTTATCACTCGCGCTAAACGGATAGATGGCTAAAGGAATATCTCTAGAACTTATAAATTCAAGAGCCTCCTCAAGATCGTTAACAACCATTATGGGAAAAATAGGGCCAAATATTTCATACTGCATCAATTCGTCATCCTCTGTGACGTCCGAAACGATTGTTGGGGAAATGTATAATTCATTCCTATCCGTAATCCCACCATAAACAATTTTTCCATTGGTTTTTTTCAGCATATTATTTAGACGGTCAAATTGCTTTTGATTGATGATACGAGAGTAATCTTTACTTTTCTGAGGATTTTCTCCCAAAAATTCTTTGATTACTCTTGGAAATTCTTTAACGAGAGCTTCTTGCACAGATCTTTCACATACAATATAATCTGGAGCAACACACGTCTAAAGATCATGAAATTGATAACAGGTTGTTTTATTAAACCTCAAAATGATGATAATGAAAATCTTCAAATGCATACTACCTGCCCGCAGTTAAAGGTTTTTCCCCAAATCAAACGTCTGGCTACAATTGAAATATCTACATCCTTGGCAACTATCGCCGGACTTTTTCCGCCAAGTTCCAGGGTCACAGGGGTTAGATGTTTTGCGGCCTCGGTCATTATGATCCTTCCAACTCTTCCAGAACCAGTATAGAATATATGATCAAATCTGAGTTGTAACAATTCCATCGTCTCTTCACTACTTCCATTCACAACACGATAAGCATTTTGATCGAGGTACTTGGAAATCAGTTTGGTAAGTGTGGCCGAAGTGTTTTCCGGAACTTCCGAAGGCTTGAGAATTACAGTGCAACCAGCTGAAATCGCGCCTATGAACGGAGCAAGCAGGAGAAGGACTGGATAATTCCACGTGCCAATTATCAACACGGTCCCTGGGATTAATTATTTGATTTAAACAACTTGTAATTCGAAGAATCTTTGATAGTTAATGATTATTTAACGGTTTACCAGCCGGCTCCCTTCTTATATGACACCCATTTAACTTGTGCGCAATGCCAACTTTAACATATTCGGGTTTTGACCAATCATCAAGATACTCGATAGCATCCAAAGACTCTTTAATACACCATGATATCTCTCCGGACATCGTTTCAGTTTTCGGTCTGCGAAGATCCTTGTATAAAGCATCACATATTTCATCTTCATTCTCCTCCAGTAATTTGCATAATTGTCTTAATTGTCTTTTTCGATAGCTCAACGATTTCGTCAAATTGTTAGTGAAAGACTTGCGAAGATCATCGATTATCTGAATAAAGATTGGAGTGCGCAACTTCAATGTCAACGTCCTTTCTCTTTAGGAGAGAAAAATCTCACCTGTGAGTACTCGGCCGTGTTCGTATATGTCAATGGCATGACTAAAGAAAGAAGCGGTTAGTTAAGTGCGGGAAATTCTCTCGTGGGAAAATTAAACAATGAAAGTTGTAAATTTGCTATTGGCGGCCTGCAATAAGATATATTTAATTGCCGATCATTTATCCAAAAGGTAAGATCATTGTTTCATAATTGTGTCGTCGTATACCCTTAAAATTGAATATGAATAAATCAAGTTATAGTCTTTACAGTACTATGCATATTGTATCCCGTAGGTTCAAGTCAGGCCCTCCGTTAAATGTTCGAGTAAGATATTTGATCCATTTCGAATCCACAAGTCTCGTGTCTTTGATGTATACTCTGCAACCTCTGAACTCCATCGATTTACGATATGAAAACATTTGAAACCTGAAATGTGATTATTAAAGTAGATTGTAAACAAAAAAACGAAAAATATCAATTCAGTTCCTTGCATAGCAATCCAACAACTAATATCCCTACTCTTGTCGCCGAAATCTTTATCCAAAACAAATTTAACTATTCTCTCTATATTTCTAATCTTATTATCAACTATCATAGCATTATTACATCAAACTCTAAGTAGGTATTCATAGCTGCTCAGCATCATGTAACTATTATATTAATTTAAAACTTTCATTTATAGTATAGATTATTTGATTATTGTAAGCAAGCTAATATTTAACTTACTATATTTTGTACATAAAAAATAATGTTTACTTATTCAAAATATATATATAATTTATTATAAGTTTAATAAAGTAAATTATAATTTAAAATATTAAATTTATTATATTATAAGTCAATATTATTTTAATATTAATTTGAAATTTTAAATAGTAATGTTAATGTTTCTTCTAGTGAGTCTGTTGCTTTTCCAAAACAATTCTTGCATAATATCAGATAAGTTTATATTTTTTACTTAAAACATATGATTTTATTCAGTTAAGTTTTTTATTAATAAACATTTTTTTTGATAAATCTTATTACTTTCTCTTATAGTTCCAAACATTCTATCTTGTAACAAGTATTGGATTAAATATAGTCTGTTATAAAATTTTTGAACTAATATTTTTTCATATAACTTAATAAATAATTATTTAATTAGTATAAAATTTTAAATATATATTTTTTACAATATAATAATCAAAATACTCAAGTTTTATTAATAGTTGATTAATAATTTATTATAAGATATTAATTAAAAATAAATAAATAAAAATAAGTTATAAAATTTTATCAAGATTTTATATATATTATAAATTTATATAGAAATAATAGTTGTAAATTATAATTAAATAATTTTTTTTTAAATTTTAATTAATATTTTATAACAATTTATTATATTAATTATTAATAAATTTAAATATTATTATTATAATATTATAAAATATATATATTTAAAGTTTTATATTAATTTAATAATTATTTATTAATTATATTAGAAAATATTAATCTAAAAATTTTTGCAATATATTGTGAATTAATTAGATTTTACTTTTTTTAATAATGTTAATTATATAGACCTATGGGTCTATAGCATAGTAGTAGTACTCCATAGGTTACCAGGAGAAGGTCTAGGGTTTAACCTCGCCTGGTTACAAAAATCTATCACCTTTATGATTGGTTTACCGGCTTCCAATTCATGTCGTACCCAATCAGCCAACAATCTATTTCCAAATTCAGTTAAATTGTATGAAGATGGAACCTCTGGTCTTCTCGACGATTGCGGGCTAAAAACAGGTTGAAGCACAGAAGGTTGCACAAGGAAAGGCTTCTGGTCTAACTCTGGTAAAAGCTCACTAAAATCTTAACCCAAACTGGTGACGGCAGACTCCATCACACAATCCAAAAAAGATGTTAATCCTAAACTGATCTATCCCAATCTGGAGCTTGAAAATCTATTCCATAAGTGGTGTTCTCCTGAACTTAAATGGATTGAAAGGACAAAGGTTATCTGCCACAGAATATCACAATCCAGGCAAAAAATCGTTAAAACCAAGTGAGTCTGGTGAGGATCGTAAAGATTAAATTGGAATTCAAACAAGAACACCAGTTCCACAGGTGATAAAAATGGTAGTACTACATTATACTAGTGGTACATCTCAAGGATCAGTGATAACAGGTGATTGGAATGACTGGGATTAATCTCTATAATAATATTCCATACTACACTGCTCTTTGCAATAATGAACCAACAGGTTTAGGTGAGTTTAAACTAGTGATAGGATTCCCCCCCCTGCGGAAGTTCCACCTGACATGTGGATACATCTACGTGATGTTTAAATGAATGCATAAGTTGGGTAATAATGGTTGGCATAGCTAGTCTTATAGCAATATAGGCGCTAGGCAGTGTTAATCTGCAGATAATTTGTAGAGATATAATAGGTATCCGATTTTTAGTTAATTTGTAGAGATACTAGGTATCTATCTGGATATATAAACATATCAATAAAGATCATGTATCTTGCGTACATTTCACTATAAAAAAAAAAAAACAATAATATTAAATATATAGCTCTAATTAATTTAAAAAATAGTTTTATTATTATTGTATAATTTATATTATAACTGTTTTTTTTTTAAAAAAAAAAATAAACTATTAGCAAATAAGCTTTTAAAAATAATAATAATAAATTATTTTAGATTTTAATTATTATATTATTATTTATAAAAATTCAATTATTATTATTAACTTTTAAGATATATAATATATTAAATAATATATTGCAATTAAATTTCACACAATTTTTCTATTAATAATAGTTAATATTAATATATATATATATTATTTTTACAAATTATTTTTTAATTAAATTTAATATTATATCACTATTATTTATTATTTTTTTATTGTTTCTAAAAATAAAAAATAATATAAATATAATTTATTTTATTTTTCAAAATTACT